CAGCAACATTATTATAACGTTTGGTGGTTAAAATTTAAGCTCGAGAAATCGCTCTATGTGTAAGAATTATGTTCCAGATTTTATTCGAATTGAATAGAGGAATATTAAATCCCCTGCCATGTCTGTCATTATTTCATACAATGTTGTTACAAACTTCATCCAGTCAGACGGATGAAACAATGTTGTCTGAACACGCTGGGAGGCATCGGTCTGCATCCTTTAATTGTCGTAGGTGAGCGAAATCTCATACATTTTGTACCCTACCCCGTGCAATTAAAGTTAGTTTGAAGGATAGAATAAAAAAACAAATCAAGCACATTGTTATTAAGTTCAAAGCTTCTTTGCTTAAAGGGGATATTTCTTATTTATATCAACATATATTTTATCGTCAAAAATAACAGAATTTAATTTTTTCTCACATAAATCCATAAAATTAACTTATCGTAAAATCCGGCGTATAACGAGCACTTTGAACACAAAAAATAAGATCGAAACTTAAAGGTGCACGTTATACGCCGGGTATAAAAACGAGAGCGTTAAAAAATAACAAAAGAGGTAAGCATAAAAAAAATTTACTTTTATATGTATGGAAATACTGTTTGTTTTAAAGAAACGACTTGCCTTATGAGCTAAAAGAGTTGTAGATCTAGAAGTATACTATTTTTTTCAAAAATCTGGGATAATACATCGGAGAAATAAGGTGAAAACATAAGAGCAATGTATACTAATATATATATATATATTTATATATATATATTTCAGATTTCTTCATTAAAAAGGGGGTGCGCGTTATACGGTGAGTATACCTTAAAATTAAAAAAATCAGCTTGAAAGTATAGGTGGGCGTTATACACCGGTGGGCGTTATACGCCGGATTTTACGGTAATTCAATTGGGAAAGTACTCAGAAATATTATTTACGTAATTATGATAAAATTTTATGTAAAATAGGAGAAGTTTAATAAAGCAAGGATTAATATTTTTTTTTTATTAGGTTAACACGAAATATATTTTGTTCTTGACTTCTGTTAGAGTTTTCATTACCAAAATTAATTTAATTTACCAAATCAGAGCAATATTTTTAATTTCTTTTTATTAATTCAACATTGGAAGTAATACTATGATGTATGTGGATAAAAAAATTTTCTTTGAAAATAATTAAAGCCTTTTATACTCGTATAGCTGCTGTTTCTTTAAATCGCACAAAAATAAATAAATTTTACTTTAATAAAAAAAAAAAGATTGTCTTCTAGTATAGTGGTTAGTGACTTAGACTACTGTCCCGTAAGACCTGGGTACGAATCCCGGAAAAGACATGGATGTTTGTAAATGTATAGTGCCTTTGCAGCTTGGGGGTACTCTAAATAGCCTTCGAGCCTCAAGCCCTCTCGTGGGGCTGGTGGAAGGGGAAGATAGGTGGGAGGCCCCTGACCCCCCAGGGTATTTTCCCTCTAAATTGGGGAGGAACTGAGCTAAAAAAAATCGTACTGTCACTTGTATGGTGCTCAAGGCGTCGGCCAACGACAGACGTACATCTAAAAGTCTAACCTGTCTCAGGCTCTGGCAACTTTCCTTCCTTCCCTTCAGAAAGGACACGACAACAACAACAATGGAAAATAAAGTTTTTATATTTAGCTTAACCGTATAATTCAAACTATAAAACATTTATATATGCATAATACTCTATCAGAAATGATTTTCTTTTACATCGTCAAGTTTTTTAATCTCTTCCCGGCTTTTCCCTAGCTGAGCTCGGGCATACGAAATGTATAGCTCGTATACCAAGTGTAGCTCGGGTACTGTGAAAATTTACACTGTGCAATCGGTCCTTCCCTAATTATTTCACATGCTCAATTTTTGGTTTCAAAAATTTTTTTGGTTTGGTATTATTGAACAGTACCACGCGGTGGAATTTTCTGCTGAAAGACACTTCGTTGACTACATTCCCCCCAACAGAGAAGAAAACTAATCCAGCACGACAATGCATTATTTGCTGCTAAAAGAGAGACAGTAAAGGGAAGACAAAAAGCAATATTCTACTGTCCTAATTACGGTGTTGGGTTATGTGCAATACCGTGGTTTCGAATTTATTATACAGGATCCTATTTTGATTAATAATCTCATAATCATTTATGTAAATGCAAAAGATGTAAATAAAATTTGTAATTCAAGATAAAGGTTAGGTATTCTAAGCTTTATATTTCTAATTAGTGCGAATTGACTTCAAAGTCTCATGATTTCTGCAATACAGAAAACTAACTTTACAGGTAAATTGCTAATTTATTTTCTTACATTAACTTTTAGGAAATTTTGTATGCGAATGGTGCTATTATGTTTAAAAAGATATGTATGTTTGAAAATAAGCATAAAAAATTAACATTTTTTTATCAATATTTCAAAAATAAAAGGAACCTGCAAGGGGTTACAGTACATAAATAGAATTGAGCTGCACAATGAGTCAAAATACATTTTTAAATTAAAAATGTGATTTGTTTTAGTATTCATCTGTATATCAAGCATGCATTGAATATTTTCCTTTTCACAGCCAAACAGTGAAAAGTAGATGTTGCATGTGAAGAAATTGTTCTTTAAATCTTGCAAAATCAAACCAAATAAATTAGAATGGTTCTCTTTATTGTTTATTGTCCGTATTGTTAAATTCCAAGAAATTTTTTATTCCTTTCTTTCCATTTGTTTTCAAAGAAAATACATATTTCGTAATAACTATATTGATTTCTTTAAAAACACGAATGACTGAGCTACTCTCTTCATAAACCTTGAATTTTTCTTGTTTACATTCATTTACAGATTTGATGTTTCTTAGATATCGATCGAAAGTTCTTTTTTGTTGTTATTTTATTAGCAGGGAATTTACCATACATGTAATTCTTTTAATAAAATAATTTCTCAAAAAATTTAAGTAATGTTTCTTCACTCATATAAAAGGGTATTACAAGATATTATAGCTTATTTGTTATTTTGTCTTTTTATATTCTAAAAATTAAATTCGTCTTTAAAGTAAATTTTCCTTTGTTCTAATAACTCTATCACACAGATTAATTTTCATAAAAGTTTTCTGTAATATTAAATGAATTCGAGCAACCTTGTAACTTCTCAAGCATATTCCAAATTATTATTTATCATTTTTCAAAACAAAATTGGTCACCCCTAACTTTCACAATTTTTATCACAGTTACAGTACATCAGTATGAACGCCAATGGCTCAAATCGAACTAAATTTTAATATGTTGGTATTTTAACTATGTAATTTATAAACCTAATAAATTAAGTCCTAAAACATAATATTTTTTTCTGAATTAATAAAGAATCGTTTCAATAGTAAGCCTTTTAAATATTCTTTAAGTCTGATCATTAGATCAGAAGGTAAACTCTACAACAGGCATCGGCACCTTATGCCATGTTGCATGATTCTCAGTGGCACTATTTAAGAGGAGTTGGAAACCTCTTTCTCTATATATACAGACAATGTTAAATTGGCAATTTTCGATGTACCTTTTCTCAAAATCTGTTATAAGTATATGCTTGAAATTTTTCATACAATTAAAGTACACTTTTCTCATTATATTGAAATGTGCTTTTAGCTAATTTTGAATTTTTAAATAATTTATGAAATATTTTACCAAACATTACGAAATTTGACCCATTTTTCACATAAAAAATTTGTAAAAAATAAATTTTTGAGTTTCTTACAAAACGCTCATTTCAGTATATATTAGCCATCAATCTAAGTATATCACAAAAAATTTACATGCCTGGGAACACTTGTTTCTCAGAGAAGATACATTGAACATCAAAATTTACATTTTGAGATAAATTGATTTTAATGTATGCAGTGAGACTTCTAATCGGTTAGTAAATAAAAAAAAAATAAAAGGCTCAACTTACAATAAAAGATACATGTTTTGGTTTATATCAGACGTTAAACTTTTAAGCAAAAACAAGAGTACTTTGTTTACATTTTTCGCCTTTCAAATGGGCGTGGCCCAGTTTCAACGATTATTTAAAAATAGGTTTTAAGGGCTTCTAATTACACTAGAAGTTAAAGTAAGGTATTTTTAGAAAAATTAAAATTTA